ATATTCAGGATTGAGACTTCATCCTGATGAATTGTTCCTGTTATGAGTATAAAATGTCCCTCTCCATCTCTTCTGATTGATTTAAGTTTGAAGTCAACTTTGTTAGAAATTAGTATGGCCACACCTGCTTGTTTCTTAGGACCATTTGCTTGATAAGCCTTTTCCCAGCCCTTTACTCTGAGTAGGTGCCTGTCTTTGTGGTTGAGGTGTGTTTCTTGTAGACAGCAGAACGTTGGATCCTGTTTTCGTATCCAATCCCTTAGCCTGTGCCTTTTTATAGGTGAGTTGAGCCCATTGACATTAAGTGATATTAATGACCAGTGGTTGTTAACTCCGGTCACTTTTTTAGTAGTAGGGTTTGTGTGTTTCCCTTCTTTGAGTTGCGCTGGTGAAAGGTCTCTAGATGACTGAGTTATTGTGGGCATTGTTGGACTCCTTGGTTAGTGATTTTCCTTCTATTATTTTCTGTAAGGCTGGATTTGTGGCTACGTATTGTTTGAATTTGTTTTTATCCTGGAAAATTTTGTTTTCTCCATTTATAGTGAACGAAAGCTTGGCTGGATATAGTAGTCTGGGCTTGCATCCATGATCTCTTAGTTTTTGCAGTACATCTATCCAGGACCTTCTGGCTTTCATGGTTTCCATAGAGAAGTCAGGTGTAAGTCTGATAGGTTTACCTTTATAAGTAACTTGGCCTTTTTCCTTTGCGGCTCTTAATATTCTTTCTTTATTCTGTGTATTTTGTGTTTTGATTATTATATGGCGAGGGGATGTTTTTTTTTGATCCAGCCTATTTGGTGTTCTGTATGCTTCTTGAACCTTCATAGGTACCTCTTTCTTCAGGTTGGGAAAGTTTTCTTCTATAATTTTATTAAGTATATTTTCTGTACCGTTGAGCTGCACTTCTTCTCCTTCTTCTACTCCAATTATTCTTAGGTTTGGTCTTTTTATTGTGTCCCAAATTTCCTGAATGTTTTGTGATGAGAATTTGTTGGTTTTGCTGTTTTCTTTGATCAGTGTGTTTATTTTTTCTATGGTATCTTCAGTGTCTGATATTCTCTCCTCTATCTCTTGTAATCTGTTGTTAGTACTTGTTTCTGTCATTCCTGTTCGTTTACCCAGATTTTCCATCTCCATTCTTCCCTCGGTTTATGCTTTCTTCATTGCTTCCATTTCATTCTTCATGTCTTGAACCGCTTCCCTAACCTGTTTGATTGCTTTTTCTTGTTTCTCTTGGTTTTCTTGCGTGTCTTTGAGCGATTTATTCATTTCCTCTACCTTTTTGTTTGTAATCTCTAATTGTTTATGGCAGTTTTTCACCTCCTGTTTAAGGTCCTCTATTATTTTCATATAGTTCACTTTTGAGTCGATTTCTTCTATTTCTTCAGGAGTAGGGTGTACAATTCTTCTTATTTCGGGATCCCTGGTTTCTGGTGGTGTCATGTTGCCTTTCAGATTGTTGGAGGAATTCTTGTATTGGCGCCTTCCCATCTCTTCCTTCAAATGGAGCCAGGAGAGGCCTGGTCTCTTGGTCCAGACTTTGCTGTGATTGACTCTCAGGGTATATCTCTTCAGTGTAGAAGCAGGAACCGTTCCCGTCCAGATGGGATTCCTCCGCAACCGTCCTGATGGGATTCCTCAGCAACTAAACAGGGCCGCTGGTAGCCCAATGATCCAGGGCCAACAGGATGAATGGAGCAAGTGGGGGGGGGGGGTATCCAGGAGCGCGCAGGAAGCCTGGCGCCGGAGCTGAAGGTGCCCGGCTCCCTTACAGGGGACCCTGAGGCCTGCCTGGCTGGCAGGCACTCACCGCTCTGGGTGGGTCGCCTTAGTTTAGGAGCTTAAGACTGTATTGAGCACTGGTCCTAGCATACAGCGGGGCAGGGTTGGGGAGGGGTGCTGGGTCGTGCGAAAGAAAGACAGCCCTGCAGAAGGAGCTGGGGGAGGGGGTTTGTGCTCTCTTCCGGGACAGTCCGCCCGCCCCTGGGTAGCACACACTCACCCGTCCTGATGGGATTCCTCAGCAACTAAACAGGGCCGCCGGTAGCCCAATGATCCAGGGCCAACAGGATGAATGGAGGGGGGGGGGGTTGGGGGGGTGGTATCCAGGAGCGCGCAGGAAGCCTGGCGCCGGAGCTGGAGGTGCCCGGCTCCCTTACAGGGGACCCTGAGGCCTGCCTGGCTGGCAGGCACTCACCGCTCTGGGTGGGTCGCCTTAGTTTAGGAGCTTAAGCCATTCAACAAAATTTTGCATAGCCCTGGGTACGCAAATATATAAGATAGTTATACACATCAAAACATTTACCTAAAATAAATCATAAAGATCTGTTGTTTTTTAACTCTTTGGTAGATATATAATTTTACCATTTATTAAAGCAGGGCTGGTTTTTTGGTTATAGACTCAGGAGGTAAAATACTTGCTGTGCAAACCTGATGACTTGAGTTTGATACCCAGATTCTATGATGGATGGAGAGAGTTGACTGTGACAAGCTGTCCTCTGACCTCCACATGAGCACCGTAGTATGCTCCCTCACACAGACATCATGCAAGCACACACAAGAACAGCAACAATAGGAAATATAGAATGAATAAACCTTGCTTGCAGGTGAGATAGATGTGCTTGTCTGTTTTTACATAAAGAAGGAAACCTTAGTGGAACATGTGGTCCTGCAGGCTGGAGAGCATCTTTGCCATTTTGCAGAGTTGGCCGATACATGTGGATTTCATAATTGTGGGTGCTGAGAATGCCGCTTTACCTAAGTATGTACTTCGAAACGGTAACATGTTTCGGACCATTGCAGAAATTGTTGGAAATGCCGTATTAATTCCAAGCCAAAGTTAATATGATGATTGTTTTACTGCACCTCAAGTCGGCAGCACCAGCCACAAATTTTAAAATCAAACATTAATAAAATTCAAAATAAGCGCTAACTTGATGCCGGCTGAGAAACGATGGGAAGAAGCTGGTGAAAGTCTGTTGACCATAATCAGACAATAATATCTCTGTAAGAACAGAGAACGCTTTCTGGATTGGAGAAGCACTACAGTTTATAAATGCAGTAATCTTGGATCTGACCCAGGGCGCTTCAGACCGCAGTCACTGGCGCTGCACGGTGTACCAGCATGTGCAGCGGGAGGGTCACGTGTTAGCAGTGACACTCCACAATGCTTTCCCGTGGGCCCTGCACAGAGCACCCCCGATACGTGCCGTGTTTGATCGGGGAAGTAATCCTTCACTTCTTTTATTTCATTTTTTCTGGCAATGTGTTTCGATGGTGTTCCCTCTCCTCTAATGCCTCCAAGATCTTCCCCTCCTCCCCACCCACCCAACTGGATGTTCTCTCCCCTTTATCTTTCTCCCTCTCTCTCAAGAAAAGAACAAAAATGAAAAGCAAAACGAAAAGAAGTCCGATAATACAAAAAATGTCAAAACAAAAAATGCACATAGACACACGCACACACATGCGTACACACACAAACAGTGGTAACAATAACAACAAACCACAACCAGGAAGTTCCTTTCAGATTGACCCTAGAACCTGCCCTGGAATATGGTTGCTATTTTCAGTGACCCTCTGCTGGGAGAAAACTGATTTGGGGAATTACATGTTGATATACACATTCAAAAAACTTTTATTGTTGCCTAAAAAAATTTCTACCCCCTGATTCAGTTACATAACCGCACCCAAGGTCAGGACCCACAGTTCAAGAAGCTATGCCTTACATGATCATTGGCAGTGAATCCTTTGTGCCCACTGGAGACATAACAGAGAAAAATGAAGACGGTCACCAAGGTAGGGGCGGGAGTGGAAGTCAGAGATGTGACAAAACCATCAGCCTGATATGGCAGCACATACCTGTGACGCCACCAGTACTTAAGATGAAGTCAGGGCGTCATGTTCATCACCTATGTAGTGAGTTCGAGGCCAGCCCAAGCCACCTGAGATTGTCTATAAACACGTGTGCATGTGTGTCTATATGTGTACATGTACATGTAAGGTGTGTGTGTCTAAAAGGAAAGTCAGAAGGGAGGAAAGAAGGAAAAGAGGAAGGAAGGAGAACTAAGCCTTAAGAATTAATGTTCTAGTGACTGCTTCGCTAAAGAAGAGTGTTTGATTGAGATTTATTAATTGGCACAGCCCATTCCCATAACAAGCAGGCACTGAAAATTGCTGCCCGGGTCTAGTGGCGCCTTCCCATAGGCTCAGCTTTTTAAGTGTCTGACGTGGAAGGATAGCTTAAACTCAGAAGATGAAGTCCAACAAGGCCCACAAGAGCAACAAAACAACTTGCAATGAGGTGACTTACTCTTGTAGGTTTTGTTGAAATTTGATGGATGATGTATTTTTATATCAAACCACATATTAAGCCTTTCTACTTGCAGTTTAAGCTGTCCTGGATCTATGGACAAATTGAAAATAGGCTAAATTTTATCTTGTTTTTGAACCGTGTCTTACTGAACTATTGGAAATGACTTTCGTCAATATTAATGGTTCTGTTCTAGTCTCATGTGGCAAGTTCTTAACATTTTGTGTAGCCCTTCTTTTTCATGGAGACATTTTAAGTGATACTTTTTCTTTTTATATTATTTTCGTCAGTTTTTATGTAGACCTTATTCAAACAAGATTTCTGAACACGGTTTTTAGAATTTTTGCTGTTGCAGACAACTTGTAGATGTCAGCTTTTTTTTTCCCATTTACTCAGAAAATACACGCCGTTTTTTTTTTTATATCATAATCGCAGATACAAGAGCAAGTTAGAGCCCTAAAACTGTAGGTTTAGGACTCAGCCACGAGAGGGCGCTGTGTCTCTTTCTGGTAATGAACACCAGTTGAAGAGGGAGCTCAGGGCTCTTTCTGTCTTGTGATTCTAGTTTGTTCTAGGGTTGTCTCTCTGTCTTTTAAAATCTGCACTCCTCCTCGGGCTTCGGGTGTCACCAATGACAGGTATAGGTGACAGTTTACACACTTTTTCCTGTAGTCTGTGGGAGGTAGCTTGCCTGCAAGGCTCTTGGGGCTTCTCTGGGGAGTAGAGGGAGGACCCTGCAGTCACAAGTCGTGACTCTATAGTTGCACTGTCGCAGGTCTCCAGCTGTCCCATTGCGTGACTGTTGCTCAGGCCACTCCACTTCTGTGAGTCAAAAGCATGTGTGTATGAGGACGATCTCGCACACTCTACCGGGAAAGGCGCTTCCTGAGCAGAGTAAGAAGGATGAAAAACACCACACTTATCGTCTAGGGAGCACTCAGCAGCCGGTAGTTGTGCATAGCTTCCCAACCCAGCGGGAGCATCGTCTGGGCAGCTAAGGCCTGGCCCATTCCCAATCAGCATAGCATCTCTCATCAGTACGCCACCCCGGTAGCACTGTGCCTTATAGCTAGAATTGTGAACGCTTGCTTTTCTCCACCCAGCACCAGACCCCCAAAGTCCCTACTCCTTCTGTGACTCCTTTCAGTGGCCTTCAGTTTTTTTTTTTTTTTTCTGGCATCTGGCCCAGAGTTCTTCACACCCTCTGACTCACTTCCCTCCGGGCAGCACCTAAACCTTTTCTTCTTGGCCCTCACACAGAACTAAACCTTTGCCAACTCCTGTTCATCTTCTCCTTCTAGATATAGAAAGCTTCAGACCTGAGGAGCCTCAATTCTACTACCACTTCCCATCACTGTAACCGTGGGCCAATGCTGTCGTTTCTCAAATTTCTGCTTAGCCACTCAGTATATGTGTAACTGTGAGTAGGCGCCATATTATCCCTGAACCTCCACTTCCTCGTTAATAAAATAAGGATGGGTCAGGTGGTGGTGATGTATACCTTTAATCCCAGCACTCAGGAGTCATAGGCAGGAGGATCTCTGTGAGTTCGAGGCCAACCTGGTCTCCAAGAGCTAGTTCCAGGACAGCTAGGGCTGTTACACCGAGAAACCCTGTCTCAAAAAAACCAAATAAAATAAAATAAAATAAAATAAGGACTGTGGCTATTATACTAAGGGATGTTGGAAGGGTTAAACGAGGAGATTCACATGAAGACCTTGGCATTTACAAGTGCCTAGGTTATTGGTTCTTCTAAAACTATGCTAAGCCTCAGCTTCCCTAACTATCCATCCCTCAGGGATATATGAAAGTTTCATGTCAAATCTCCAAGCCTACTGTTTAGCAACGCTTCAAGAACTATCTGTGGTTCTGCCACGCCTCCCAGTCATTTTTGCACCTGAGCCCTTTGGGGTGCAAAAGAGTTGCCTTTTCTGTCACTCCCAGACTCTCAACTGGACCTCTGTGGTTAGAGTGAACAGTTTGTCACCTTTTCTCCTCAGTCTCTGGTAGTAAAAATTTGGGCCTTGAGACCGGAGAGATGGCTCAGTGGTTGAGAGCACTGGCTGCTCTTCCAACTGATTGGAGTTGGAGTCTGTGCACACAGGGTGACTCACAACTTGTCGGTAACTCCAGCTCCAGGGGATCTGATGCTCTCTTCAGGCCCTCCACAGTTACTGCAGCCTCATGGTGCATTGATATAAAAGTATGTAAAAATCCATACATATTAAATTTTTTATTATTAACTTCTTTTTCATATTATATATTTTATAATATTAATTCCCCTCTCCCAACAACTCCTCCCAGCTGTTCTCCACCTGTATTTTGTTTTGTTTTGTTTTGTTTTTCAAGACAGGGTTTCTCTGTAGCTTTGGAGCCTGTCCTGGAACTAGCTCTGTAGACCAGGCTGGTCTCGAACTCACAGAGATCCGCCTGCCTCTGCCTCCTGAGTGCTGGGATTAAAGGCGTGCGCCACCACTGCCTGGCCTCCACCTGTCTTTTCTTACATCTCACCATTCACTTTGTTTTTATACACGGCATCCTTCATTGTTTTGATCTCTCTGGGCCCTGGCATTTGTTGAACCGTTGTCCATATTTCAAGGCCCAACTCAAATACAGCCTCACCTTCCCCAAATGTCGTTACCCAGTAGGAGACAATCCATGCTGGGGTGATGGTGGATGGAGCACTAAGGGTGGGTGGGACAATCAGAAGGCACTAGAGGTCCTCTGGGATTATGTGGACATTTTCCCCGGGATCAAGGAGGTGGCATAGAGTTGCTAGAAAGTCGGGATCACTGGCTCTGCCTAGTTAGAAGAGAAAAATTCTAGTCACTAGGCAACTGTGCAGGGGGAGAAGGATTGGAAGCCATTTCAGGACACGAGCCTGGGAGGAACATAAGACAAAATGTCAGTCTAGAAAATGGCATGTGAGGAGGGAGGGGGAGGGGGACGAGGGAGAAGTGCTCCCTCGGAGTTGAGAATTACTATTCCACAGGATTTAGGGTCTTTAAGCCCATGAGGATTTAAGGATTTGTAATTCTATGCTATATAATACCTTAAAAGCAAGGATATTGGGATTCCAAGGATTTTAAAGCCCTATAACCTATGGTAGAAGAAGAACTTAGGCAATTTATGAGCTATGCAATGCTAGGAGCTTAGGACTCAAAACAAGGTCTTTAAGCGGAACACTGGACATGTGAAATTACTAATTAATCCTCCTTGGGTTTCAAACCATTCTTGACTTAACTCTTGGGTCAGTGTTTCCAAATTGTCTCCCCACAGTCTGAGGATCCTTGAAGGTGTTTCTCACAGAGAAAAATGAGAGAGTCAACTTACAAGAGATAGTACCACTCAGGGAGGGAGCTTCTGCCACCCCACCTCACAGTCCAACTTTTGGCTTCCCTGGGGCAGCTCTATTTTTATCTGATTTACATGCTAGTCTTTTGCGTTCAATTTAAATGAAAGGGTTTCTTGGTAAAGACTATGAAGTTTTATAACCTCTGTCCCAGGATAAAGAAACCTCAGACCTAGAGACCACTTGAATGTAGAGTGGTCCAGCAAGTCACAGCAGGCTTTTCATGTGTCTTCATTGTCTATAAACGCTGCCATCTTTGCTTTGGCTGGTGAGCCATCAAATGCTGACAAAGGTTAACCAAAGAGACCTGAGACATACTCATTAGTTCAGTAAGTCAGTCACCATCATACTCAAGTCTGGAAACCAATATCGTTTATACTATCAGCAATTCCTAGTTACAGATGCTTTCCCTGTGAACAGCTCTGTCTTGCGAGCAGTCGTCCGATGTGCCAGGGCCAGTGCTGTTTCTTCGTTCCCTCTCACGTAATTGGCACAGCCATGCTGACAAAAACTCTCACCCGTCTCTTCATCATGATACACAGAGAAAGAGAATGGAGCTCAGGGTGAAGAAGCAACTCACCCAGGTTCATGCATCGAGCTCCCGGGAGATTCTGCTTCACTTACCAGACAAAAGAAAATGGGCCAAAGGAATAGAAGGGGTCAAAGTTCAACTGCCGGCTAGCCTTCTTCCAAGAGCAAGGTTCAATTTTAACTGATAGATGGAAGCCTGTCCATCCCATTTAGGGAAGTCCCAACTAGGGCTCAGAACGGGAGCAACTATCTTAGGTTGAGACGGAAGGGCAAGGGAAGGAGGCGCCATTTTGCTTTTCAATAAGATGCCCTCACGGTTAAGGTAAGATTTGAGAAAGTAGGCAAGTTGATCAATCAACAGTGCTTCTCCTGAGAACTGCTTTGAGAACACCTGGGTGATTTTCCCTTATGATATTCTGAGCCATCTTGTTGTGAGGGGTGCTAGGCTACAAAGTTGCATGGGATAGCAAACGCGAGTTCCTGCAAAGGCAAGGAGAAGGCAGGCGCTGTCACAGATGAGACCGTGGGCGTGTGAGGATATCCGTCCTGGACTTGGGGGCGTAGAGACGCCCCCCCCAAAAGGTAATGTAAGGCACTTCTGTTGAATGAATCAGAGCTTAAAAGGCTCAGGAGAGTGGAAACCCATCTCAGGCAGGAGCTTAAAGCCACAGAAGAGCTAGAAAGCATGCTACATTCAAGGGCAAATGAAACAAATTTTTAAGGGCAGAGAGATGAATCTAAAACGATAGTCAGAAGTTGGATGATTAGCACCAGGCATTGGGGCAGACACCTGTAACCCCAGCCGTGGAGAGTTAAGACAGGAGGATGGCTGTCTTAACAGCAATAGTGCCAGAACAGCTAGGAATACATACCAAGACCTTGTCTCTAAAAAAAAAGCCACAAACAAACAAACACACACACAAAAGCAGATGATTAAAGAATCCAGAATACCACAGTAAAGACTGGGTTCATGAATGTATAGTGTTGGATGTCCGCATGTGTTTTCCTAAAAAGTTGTACTGCCTCATGATAATCTGTCACCCCTTCCAGTCCCCCCAAAAAAGAACCAACCATAAGTCTAGCTGTTGGTGGTCCGTGTGCAGACAGATTGTGAAACAAAATGCTGGAAGTAAGAAAATTTGTTGAAGAGTAATTGGGACAGAAGTAAACATGAAGGCCCAAGCTATGGTTGCTACTGAGGGAACCAAAGAGATACAATTGACAGTATTTAGTGGGTGCCCAAGCGTTCCTCCTCATTTGACAGCGGCCCCCAATGACTAAGTGAGAAAATGCATCTCACCTTTACCCCAGCCCTCACCTCATCCTCTGATTTCATAAGTGAACAGAGAGGCCTGGCATTTTGAGGCTCTGTCCCCAACATGACATTCTCCAAGGAGAAAAATCTTTTGGCTGACCTCAGGTAGAGCAACAAACTGACCTCCACCTGTGACTTCAAAACATGGGCAGAGTTCAGTTAAGAAATCAGCACAATTCCAAGAAAAAGGCAAACATCATTCCATTTATTTTTCTCCTGATTCATCTTATGCCAATACCCAGACTGAATGAATAGCAGGCAACGAGGATGCAGGTCCCCAGACAAGCAGATTCTCAAGATGCCTTCTTCTGTTCCCTTCCCTTCCCTCAAGGGGCTCCAGTATTGCTTGGATCTGGTAATGGTATCTTTGGAGAAGAAGCTGGAGGCCAGCCTCGCTCCCCTGGAGACTGGTTTATATGGCTGCTACCTTCGAAAACTGGGGGATCAAACGGCCCTGGAGGAGTGACTGCTTTCTTGTCCAAGGGCATCCCTTGCCCTGCTCTACTTCCTGAGGCCTTCAGCAGTCAGGTCTTCCTAATTCCCTTCCGGGTCTTAGGAACCTCCTACTGTTGGCACAAGAGCAGCTCAGACAAGAACATGCCAGAGGCCTAGCCTTGCAAGCCCATCAGAAAAGCCAGGGTGTACTAGACAGCCCGAGGACACTGGTTTTGGTCCAGAAAATTTGTGTCTGGAGACTCTTTGCTAATTGATGCCCTTGGAAACCTGCCAAGTGTAACTAGGATTGCTTCAGTTTGGACAGGTCAGGGGTGGGTCAGCGGAATGAGCTGTGGCCTTGTGTGGTGTGGCCTCTGGTGCTCTCGCACACCCTTCTGGCCC